GGGAACAGGACGATACCTTTCAGGACTGTACTGAGACTCAAGAGGCATGTAGAAGCCTACAGAACTACACCCAGGCAGACCAAAGTCCACAAATTGCCACCCAGCTGGATGATTGCCAACAGTCAGATCACAGTAGCCCAGTTTCATCAGTCCATTCCCATCCTGGTCAGTCAGTCCGTTCTGTCAGTAGCCCTAATGTCCCTGCCCTGGAGAACAGCTATGCCCAAATCAGTCCAGATCAGAGTGCCATCTCAGTGCCATCTTTGCAGAACATGGAAACCAGCCCAATGATGGACGTTCCATCAGTATCAGATCACTCACAGCAAGTCGTAGACAGTGGATTTAGTGACCTGGGCAGTATTGAGAGCACAACAGAGAACTACGAAAACCCAAGCAGCTATGATTCTACTATGGGTGGGAGCATTTGTGGAAATGGTTCTTCACAGAACAGCTGTTCCTATAGCAACCTCACCTCTAGCAGTCTGACACAGAGCAGTTGTGCCGTCACCCAGCAGATGTCCAACATCAGCGGGAGCTGCAGCATGCTGCAGCAGACCAACATTAGCTCTCCCCCAACCTGCAGCGTCAAGTCTCCCCAGGGCTGTGTGGTAGAGAGGCCTCCAAGCAGCAGCCAGCAGCTGGCTCAGTGTAGCATGGCTGCTAACTTCACCCCACCCATGCAACTGCCTGACATCCCCGAGGCAGGCAACTCCAGCATTGGCTTATATGAGCGAATGGGTCAAAGTGATTTTGGGGCTGGGCACTACCCACAGCCATCCGCCACCTTCAGCCTTGCCAAACTGCAGCAGTTAACTAATACACTTATTGATCATTCATTGCCTTACAGCCATTCCGCTGCTGTGACTTCCTATGCAAACAGTGCCTCTTTGTCCACACCATTAAGCAACACAGGGCTTGTTCAGCTTTCTCAGTCTCCACACTCTGTCCCTGGAGGACCCCAAGCACAAGCTACCATGACCCCACCTCCCAACCTGACTCCTCCTCCAATGAATCTGCCACCACCTCTTTTGCAGCGGAACATGTCTGCATCCAATATTGGCATCTCCCACAGCCAAAGACTGCAAACCCAGATTGCCAGCAAGGGCCACGTCTCCATGAGAACCAAGTCGGCGTCTCTGTCACCAGCCGCTGCCACCCATCAGTCACAAATCTATGGGCGCTCCCAGACTGTAGCCATGCAGGGCCCTGCACGGACTTTAGCCATGCAGAGAGGCATGAACATGAGTGTGAACCTGATGCCAGCCCCCGCCTACAACGTCAACTCTGTGAACGTGAACATGAACACTCTCAATGCCATGAATGGCTACAGCATGTCCCAGCCAATGATGAACAGTGGCTACCACAGCAACCACGGCTACATGAACCAAACGCCCCAGTACCCTATGCAGATGCAGATGGGCATGATGGGAACCCAGCCATACGCCCAGCAGCCAATGCAGACCCCACCCCACAGTAACATGATGTACACAGCCCCTGGACATCATGGCTACATGAACACAGGCATGTCCAAACAGTCTCTCAATGGGTCCTACATGAGAAGGTAGACAGTTGGGCAGTTCACAGAACCCACTGGGCGTCACTATTGGATTGATCTGCACAAATACCTTTGAAGAGTACGATTTCAAAACCAGCAATTGGTGTGAATGCAAAAACATTTGTTGGCACCATTTATTTAAAAAAAAAAAAAAAAGCTGTATGCAGCAGAAAGCCTTATACAAGTTGTTTTCTTTTTTTCCTTTTTCTTTTTTGGTACCTTTATTTCTGTTACTTTTGTATGAAATTCTCTGCAAAGGAAGGCCTCTCTTTGGACTATACTTGGGGGCAGCTACTTGTTGTGCCTGCCTCCATTAAACAATGTGGATATCAAGCCCCCAAATTATCTGTTTTAATATTGAAGCTAGAGCTTTTTTTTTTCCTTCCCTGTCCACTCCATGTAAATGCCTTTAGCATTTCAGTTGTTGTATATTTTGTTTAAGGTGACACTTCAGCATGCCGCTAATGTCTTTGTTAGTGACAGTGCATTTTGTAGTACTGTACAAGTGTTGTGCTAACAGTAAGCCATTTCTTAAGTTTTTTGCCTTGATTAGGGTGCCCTAATTTGAGGGTTTTAAAAAATATATATTTTTGTTAATTATAAAACTGTAAAGAGCTATAAAAGCTATTCCCATTTGGTTAGTCAAAAGGGTTTTATTGCTAAATGTTTGGTGTAAAGTTGAGACCCTTTCCCATTTTGGTGACAGATTTCTTTGGGGAAAAAGGCAGCTTTCTGTTTTATAAATGCAGACTTCTGTTTATTGAATGAAGCATATCTCAGTGTTTATCTGTCAGGTTTTGAAACATTTCATATATGTCCAAATACTTGGCAGGATTTAAAAAAATAGTGAATTTGGTGTAAAGTTGCTATTTTATGGAAATGCCTCTAACTTTACATTTTCATTCCATCTGTAGATTTTTCTATCTTTATAAAATATTGGAGTTATTTTTTAAGGAAAAATAGAGAAGTAGCTTGTGAATAGCTCAAACTAAGCTTACAAATCGCATGTACAAAAGCAAAAGAGTTATTTGTGTCTGTTTATAATGCTTCCTTTTTTGTAGCCTTTGTACCTGTACAGGGTGACAGTAAGGGCCAAGCAGGAGAGGCGAAATCCTTGTATAAAATAGGAGCCAGCGACACTCTTGTATTTATCTGTTCTCTTTTTAGTCAGTTACTTCAAAAAAAAAAACAAAAAAAACAAAAACAAAAAAAGCTGTACATTTTAACATAAAATAAATTATGATGAGCCATTTTTAGCCTCTGTGTCCTGTCATATTATGATTGATAGAGAATGACCAACTGAACTGTACCTACCATGTGTCACGTCCCAGAACACACACACATTCGGGAAAATATTTAGTGTAAATTGGAGTTATGAGATTTTCTGATTTGTTTTGACTTTGGGGGAGGGGTTGGCAATAAATAAGAGTAATATCTAATAAAACCATCACATATACCAAATACCTATTTAATAAATTAATTTATAATGGATTTTAATGCTTTTCATGAAAGTTTATTTTATGCTAGTGCATACCTTCTGTATGCCAATCATTGTCTTTAAAATAAAGTGAATTTGTCTTTTTTCTTTTTGACTTTGATCTTCATTTGCAAAGAAATCCCACACAGATACCCAGTTGCCCCTTTGTGTAGTCTGTATAAATGCCCCTCAGAAGCCATGTACCATGGTAGCAGACTTCATTTTTATAAAGAGTAATGCCACAGGCATGCAGTTTGGGATTGTATGTTTGAAGATGTATTTCCTTCAAAAGGTGTGAAAGGCTTGCACTGCTGTGAGTGATTGATTGTATGTTTTCTTAGACTCTGAAGTTTGGATTTTTTAAAAAGTGAACGTTTGCAAACATTACTTTACAGTATTCAGAGAAAATTTTGCCTGAGAATAAAACATTTTTGATTCAAGCAACAGGTTTAAAAATGAATTTAACATCACTGTGAAACAGGTCCACCAAGCTCTCAAAGTGTCTGAACATGGTGCTTACAACCATTGGTTGTACACAAAGAATTAAAGTTTAAAGAATTAAACATCACAGACACAAAACTTCAAATGGGCTCAAAATAAAACTCTAAAAAGGCAAGGTGGTTGCATACACACCGGAACAAAAAGCCCACAGGGAGGGAAGGTGCCCAGCAAAGTTTGCCCTTGCACTGTCACCACTGTCATTATTTGCTTTCACAGTTACGAGTATGGTTTAGTTTTCCTTCTATACCTGCAAAGTCAGTGGGGTAAAACCTGTAGCGAATGAGGGAGGGCTTCTAAGCTGTCATAGCAAAGGGAGTTCAGAATCCGTGTTGGTAGGAAAGAGACCTCCAGCCCATCGTCTGAGTGGCGGGTGATGATCCGGGCAGCCAGATGGGGACCCACACACAGAACTCACACACACACAATCCCCACCTTGATGGTGTCATGCACTTCATCGCCTTTCTCTTGTGTTAGATTCTCTGGGACTGAGATTCCTCTCTTCCCTTTGACAATGGCCTGCTAATCACACCCTTAGGTTGTGGGATGTCTAGGTTCCAGTGTCTCCTCCTCCTGCCTGCTTTACAGTCCCCTTTTGGGGGCTTATGGACAAGTCCCAGTCACCGCCCCATACCTGCCAGACCAGAATCAGAACAGCACTGGAGACGCCAGGCTATGGAGAGACTGCAGCATCAACTTCTGGGGAATAGAAAAACTCAAGAGTAAGAGAGAAACCCACAGTCGCTGAGGCAGCCATGGAGCAGCCAGCACTTCCCTCACACTGGAGAAGTAAGTGCAGCCTTGAGTGCCTGGAAAGCGAGAACCTGGACTTAATCAGAACCAAATATAATCATCATTAAATTGGGATTCCCTCACAGTTGGGCCACACCTTTCAAAACCAGTAATGTGTTCTTTCATTTGTAAGAGCTGTAACAAGTGGTTGTGTATAGCCAAACTCACTGTATGCCCAGGTATGTGGGCATCAGTCCTTCTCACCAGCACAGTTTTAGACAACATTGTTTACAAAGGGCTTTTGGGAACAGTCCACGTAATGGGAAATGGGACAGTTATTTCCAATTCACAGATCAGGAGATAGGGGCAAGAAGAAGCTACCCTAATTGCCCAGACTCACCCAACTAGAGTTTATAAGCTGAAACAAACCAGGTCTCCCCAAATCACAGCTTTTTTCTAAAACATTGCACTCTGTGAAAAGACCATAACTTGTCACCTCTCTGATTTAAAGGTTTAGGTAAAGAATATATGATGTTACAAAAACTGTTAAGTGCTATATAAATACAGGTGCCTTTGTTGTTGCAAGCAAGCCTTAGTCTTCCATACCCACAGTGCAAGTACTGTTGTGTTAGGGAGCATTGCCTTCAATTTGTCTTTTCCAGGCTCCTGTAATCCCTTCTCTTTTCCCTATTCCCTTCCTGGATCTTCACTCTCACCCCCCACCCCCGCCCCCTGGCCTGGCTCTAAAGCCTTTATGTGCTGCAGCACTCATACCTGGGTATGTCTCCTCTCTTATTCCCTTATCTCACTATGGTGACTTCAAGTTCCACCTCTGTCTACAGGTAACACCCAAAAGTTGACCTTCACTTGTGAGCCTTCCTCTGCACTCTAAATTTCAGGTCAATTGATCAGGGAAACCTTTTCTATGACTTACGAACACCACAATGAACTGGTGAGTTCCAGCTCCTCCCACACAATGTCAGTACTAAGGCACCACTAAATCCAAGCCTTTTGTACTTCCTTTTTCCTCTTCCCTCTCAGCCAGTCCTCTCTGTTTTCCTGCTTATTATAATTCCAAAATACCTTTTTTCACCACTGGGATTTGACCCCTGGGCCTGGTGCTTGCTGGGTGCTTGCTACCCCCCCAGCCCTTTTTGCTTTATGTATTTTTCAAGTGGGGTCTCACGTTTACCCTCTGCTGGCCTGGACTGTGATCCTCCTATTTATGCTGGCACCACATGCCCAGCTTATTGATTGAGATGATGCTCCAAGAACTTTTTGCTTGGACTGGGCTTGAACCGAGAGCCTCCCCAATCTCCGCCTCCTGGAATTATAGGCATGAGCCACTGTGCCCTGCTCCAAATTAATCTTGAATACTAATCCCCTGTGCTGTCAGTCTGGACCGCCTTTCCCTTTTCTGTCAACAGTCCCTAACTGGCCTTGCCTCCCTTGCCCTACCACCTATTCTCCATACTTTGGCCAAAGTAAATTTTGGTTTCTAGAGTGAACCTCTTTACCCTTCTCCTCCCACTCTCCTCACCTGCTAGGCAGTTCTTCCGCCTGGAATCTCCCTTCTCAGTTGGAAGATGTTCTGCTTCAACTCACTTTGTCTTCTTGGAAAGCCCGTCCTCGCCACTACCCCCATCTCCAGTGGGTTTCTGCCTGTCGTTTCCACGTGAGCACCTGTTCCCCTCATCACACTTGATTACATTTGCATTTTTGCTTGAATTTTTGGCCTCCTTAACCTAGTTTTTGGCCCATGATATTTCCATAAATACTTACTGACCAAATAAGTATTTTACTTGTGAAGACTTGAGACACTACTAAAAAACTAATGTTGCTCCTGCTCCCAGGAGTCACCAGGAAGAGACCAGAACCCCTACGTTTCTTTATTGCTTCTGCTGCCCTCAGCAGGACTCAGCCCCACAAAGACATGAGGGCCTAGATGAAAGTATAAAAACAGAAGCTCAAGCAAATACCGGCGATGGGCCTGTAGACGTTCAGTCTTCCCGCACACGTGAATTCATGTAGATATAAATAGCTCTTTAAAATAGAAATGTTGACTTGTCTCTGGACATGAACTAGATCAGACCTAAGAAATAACTTGAGTTCAGAGGAGGGTATCAGTGTGTCATAATTGGATGGCCTAAGTTGGGACCACTGTGACCCCCAGGTCCCTTTTGTCCCATCTCTTTTCCAAGAGCCTGAGTATGGCTCCCATTAAACCCAAATCTGAGTCATTAAGCAACTCCATTCATTGTTGGCCACCTTGCTCCTGCAATGTTCTCTCCCTCACAACCACAAGAGTTGTGGGTCCAGCATGATATTGGTCCTGCTTAGTACTGTCACAATTTCAGAGAGAATGCGGCTTTAAAAATTCACAATGTTCCCATTTGTTCATTTATTAAAAGACCAGCATCCTTATCATGGGAGGTCAAGGCGGGGGATCAGGTGCTATATGTCACTGTGGTGACTCCCCGAGTAGACCTAAGGGCAGTCCCAGGAAACTAAGTCCAGGCCACAGGTATTCCCTCTGGCAAAAAAGCAGAGCATCTCCCAACGGTCCCAGGGTGAGTCTTAGGCAGCCTTACCAGCTGCCAAGTCCCTGGACTCTCTCCTCCCCCCATAAAATAACCAAGCTGGAGAACCTGGTGCCTTCTCCTGGTGTCCCAGGAGGCCTTGACACTTGTTTCCCTAGGCAGTTCCATTTCTGGTCCATGGCTGCTGCGTCTCCATGAGCAGTACCTCTCTGGGTTCCATCTGGTTCCAGGTTCCTGCTTCCTGCTTCCTGCTGCTGCTTTCTCAAGAGTGAGAATCCCACACCACCTCTCAGGGAGGCCAACTCCTAAGGGCTCTCTCCTGGCTGCGGATCCTCCATTCCACAGCACACACCTGTGCAAACACCTCCTGGTGTCACAGAAAACAAGCCAGCTGCCCCCTTGGAATCGAAAATAAATGTGACTTTCCTTTCAGACAAAGCCAAACATTTAATCACAATGCCCACACATTTTTAAATCCCCTTTTTTGCTTTCATCTTAAAAAAAAAAAAATACAGACTTTGAGCAGAACTGTGTGCTCATTGACAGCCAGTTCTGCCCAGAGCCCATCTCACTCATGGGGGCCGTGAGGTCCAGTCCTGGCCTTTGCCAGGAGGCAGCTCCCAATCCTCCCTTCTCCCAGCATGCACCAGGAAGTTTAATAAGATTGTTTGGAAGAAGTAAAGTTTTGGTTTCGCTGTCCCTTCTCCGTGACCAACAAAGTCACAGGCCAGCACCATGTTCAGTCTTTCCCTCTCCTGGGGACATCCCCAGTGTTACTGCTTGGCCCATGAAGAGGGTCCTACAGCTCCAACTTGCAGTCCCCACACTGGGCCTGTCGCCTCTGCTGCACCAGCTGCTTGTCCAGCTCTCGTAGCTGCTTCAGAAAGCCCCGGTTGGGTAGGACACAGCGGTTCTTGGCCACTTGCTGGATGGCATTCACCAGGGTCATGTCCCTGTGGATCATCAGGTAGGCCAGGACCAGGGTCGCAGACCGACTACGGCCCATGGCACAGTGAACCAGGATTTTACCTGCAGATGGAGTGGGGGGGAAGAAGACCCATGCCGAATAGTCAGATGGCTTGGCGGCCCGGGCCTGCATGGGGCCCAGGCAGACCCCTCAATCCTGATTTGCTCTTGCTCTCACCCATAGCTTGGCTCCGGACCACAGCACCCCATCTGCTAAATGGGGATACTGTCACCATTTCCTTCCTAGGACACTGATGTTAATTTGTATGTAAAGCACTTTGTGCATGGCTTGGCACATGTTAAAGGTCCCATAAATGGCAGATGGTATTACTGTTGCCTCATTAAGGAAGAGGAGGCGAGAAATGAAATGAATGCCCTCCTCACATGCCATAGCAGCTCTAAGGAGCCCTAAGTCAGGATGCTGGAGAAAGGACTTTATGGGGCCGGGGGGTTGTCTAAGTCTTTTACTGTTTTTATTTTTTGGTGGCACTGGAGTTTGAAGTCAAGGCCTCACACTTGCTAGCCAGGTGCTCTTACCACTTGAGCCACTCCATCAGCCCTTTTTTGTGGAGGCTTTTTCAAGATAGAGTCTTGAGAACTATTTGCCCAGGCTGGCTTCAAACTGCGATCCTCCTGATCTCTGCCTCCTGAGTAGTTAGGATTACAGGCGTGAGCTACAGGCACCTGGCCTTGTCTAAGTATTTTAAATGTTTACTTATTTATGTTGAACAGAGCAGTCACTAGAATTCAAATTTAAACTGTACCACGGGAGGCCTACTGAGGAGCCTCTCCCAGCCAGTCCCTCAGCCCCCAACTTCCTATTCTAGGGAGGAATCTGTGCACAAGCACAGCCAACCATTCCCTCTTCTTTTCGTTGCCCCTATGGCAGCAAGTTTTACGCCCTTTTCTATACAGCAGTACAGTCTCGTGACTGTACAGAGTTCCCCTGTAAGGAGGACCCATCAGCAACTTTAAACAGATGCATTCCACAGGGGCCTAGACCAGAATCCCATGCACGGCTGGAGGTGGCACGGGTGGTGTGCATGCTTTCTGCACTAGTGCAGTGGACGTGACCCTGGTTAGGAGAGAGCTTTCCCTCACCCCACCCCACCCCCGTCCCAAAAGGCCCTTTGTGCAGCCCTGACACCCACTAGCCTCCATGCGACCATGGCAGCCGGCAGGACTCTGGCCCACTTTCTGTCAGACCTGGGTTCCAGACCTGGTTCTGTTACTAATGGCCAGTTGGGTGACAAATGGGTACTTAGCCTCTAGAGCCTCAGTTTCCTCAGCTGTCACATGGAAAAGTGAAATCAGATCAGCAGTGAGCAAAACCAATTCAGTAAAGATCACATGGTCAGGACTTTGTTTTGTGTGTATGGTACTGGAGTTTGAACTTGAGGCTTTAGGTACTCTACCACTTGAGCCACTCTGCCAGCCCTAGGCTATCAAGACTTTTGGAAAACTTGTATCTATCGCTGTGAGATTGACAGTTTCCCAATACTTTTAAGTTTTTTCCATTAACATGGGTGGTGATGTTAACAAATGTAGCTTTTTTGAATTATCTACAATGAAAAGTGTCAAAATTTGGGAGGACTGTATGACTTAGTGAACTAGGATTTTCAAATGACCAGTGCAAAGAATTACAGTCGTGCCAAACGATCCACTCAAAGTGCAAGACAGACCAACGGATTTTTTTTTTTTTTTTCTGAGACAGGTTCTTTCTATGCAGCTCATGCTGGCCTTGAACTCAAAATCCTCCTGCCTCAGCCTCTCAAATCCTGGGATTACAGACATGTGCCATCACACCAGTCCACCAATGGATTTTAACGTAACGGAGTCTGAAGTTCATTGGTATAGCATCAGATTCTACGTCACAACTGGCCTTTCAAAAGCTGTCATTTATTGAGCTTTGCTGTAGTATCAAGAAAGCATAGCCACAGTTATCTGAAAGGGATTATTAAAATAATTCCTCCCTTGCCCAACCATATCTAAACGAAGCTGAATGTCCTCCATATCCTTCGGTCTAAACAGCCCATCACAACAAACTGAATACAAACCAGATATGAGAATCTGACTGACTTCTGATAATCTAACATTGCAAAGATTTATGAAAAATGTAAAATGCCACTCTTTTCCTTTTGTGTTGGAAAATACAATTTCTCACAAAACATTATTGTGCTGGTAAATAGCAGGTTATTGTTTTTAAATAAGCAAATATTTATTAGTTTTTGTGGGACTGGGGTTTGAACTCAGGGCTTCAGGCATGCAAAGCAGGCATTCTATTTGAGCCACACCTCCAGCCCATTTTGCTCTGGCTATTTTGGAGATGGGGGGTCTCATGAACTATTTGCCCAGGTTGGCCTCAAACTGCAATCCTCCCAATCTCAGTCTTCCCAGTAGCTAGGATTATAGGTGTGTGCCACGGGTACCCAGCTTATTTGAATTTTTTCAGTTTTGACTCCTAATGGGGTAAATACTGTTAGATGTCACCTACGTGAACAGAAGATCTTTGAGGCCTTCTCTGATTTAGGAGCCTAAGAGTTCTGAAACCAAAAAGTTTGAGAGTCAGAGGTCTAGAAGAAAAAGCTCTGTGGCTATTAGCTGTCTACAGCTGTGGCTGGCTGAGCCCAGATGCAGGAGACGCTGCCCTATCCTTTAGGCCTCCATCTGGTGGCACTCTAGAGCTCACCCAGTGCATCCACACTGTCTCATGTCATCCTGGACATAACCTTCAATTGTCTACTTTGCAGGCGTGAAACAGGTTCCAGAGGTGAAGTGTTTTGTGAAGAAGTCACCCACAAAGTTGATGCCAACACTAGAAATAATTCAATGCTGCATACACTTGTGACCAGTCACTGACCACTGAGCTCTAGTCATAGAGAAAGCAAAGAGATTCAGTTCCCTGTCCCATTGCTGCCACCACCCCTCCAGTGTGGTGACCTCTCCTGTGGTGACTGTGGGATTGCTCTACTGGGGTTGAACTGGCTGAGACAGCTTGAGCTGTGTGACCCCAGTGCTCCTGAGGCCTAGAAAGCAAGCCGAGAAGACAAACATGGACACCAATGGTTTATAGAAAATCAACAAGACAGGAGGACATCTTCTGCAAGGATGTAGCTCTGTGTGTCCCTCTCATCCCCACCCCTAACCTTCCTTCCTCATGGGGCCATGGTCAGGACAGTGGCAATGGTCAGAAGCCAAAGCAGCATGAGAAATCCAAGAGGCCCAGAAAACCAGGCCACTCAGGCTGGAGAGGCCTGCACACCCTGCCCAATGGTGAGGAGCACAAAGCCACTCCACAATCAGTGCCCATACAGAGAGGTAGGTGCTCTGCCAATCACTTCATCTTGTCACAGTTCCTTCTGAGCCATCAGTGGCCCTCACATCCCACCTTTCCATGTTGCTGGGCTCCCAAGAAGGTGGCTAGCAAGGAGAGCAGGAAGCAGGTCCCCCTTCTTTATGGCTAGGGGTATTCTGCCCCGACGTGTTCACCCAGCATCACTGTGTCCCAGAGTGTGACAGTGCAGGCAGATGAATATCTACCTCTGGAATGCTAATCCCTGGGGACTGTTCCAGAGGCTGCCTGGCCCCTGGCCAGCTCTGCTGATAACCAAAGCATTTCTTCCTCTCCCAGCAAAAGGGGTAATTCTTTGTGTCATGATTAAATGCTTGAAACAGACGAAAGCTGTAGTTCATTAAGCTTTTAGGGAGCCTGAAGTCTGTTAAGTGAGAGGAGGGATGGGGGAGGGAGATGAGGAAGGGAGACGGAAAGGTAGGAAAGAAAGAGAGGAGATGAGGAGCGGGCTCTGGGCTCTGGCAGGAGCTCCTGGAGCTGAATTTGGTTTTCATTAAAGCTGTCAGCCAGGAAGAGAGCACAGTCAGCCTCCCTAGGACAACAGCCTGCTGTTCTCTGCCCCAGGTGCAGGCTGGGCTGCACCACTTTTCTCAGGGGCCTGTCCCCAGAAACCTCAGGGCCCTGCTCGCTTGACTCTGTGGCTCTGCTGAGCGCAGCTGGTAGGAAATGCTCTCCAGGGTTGAGGAGACCTGTCTACTTCCAGTGCAGCCACACAGAGTTAGATGCCAGCCACGGCAGGGCTTGAGCAAAGAGAATACTGCCACAGCTGGAAGTCTCTACATCAGTGGCTTTACACTGCTACATGCGACCTCAGGAAACACAGAGAGACAAAACTCACAGCTAACAAAAAGGTGGCCCCAATTCACTTGGGCCATGCTCCCAGCCCTTTTTTGCTTTAGTTATTTTTCAGATACGATTTTGTGTTTAGCTTCCTCCTACCTCTGATTCCTGTGTAGCTGGGATTATAGACACGTATCAGCATCTCCAACTTGTTGGTAGAAATTGGGTCTTGCTAACTTTTTGCCTGGGACCTGCTTCAGACCATGGTCCTCCTACCTATGGCCTCCTGGGTAGCTTGGATCACAAGTGTGTACCAATATGCCTGGCTTGTTGATTGAGATGGGTCTCACTCACATTTTACCCATGCCAACCTGGAACTGCTGTCCTCCTGATCTCTGCCTCACAAGTAGCTAGGATTACAGACTTGATCCTCTGTGCCCAGCCCCTTGTAGATTTTAAGATGGCTTCAACTGTTTAAGAAAAGAAAGGACAAAGGGAGAATGGTGACAGTGAAATCGATCTTTAGAGCCCTGTGACATCTGTGCAGGAGTTTCCTTGAAGATCTCATTAAGATGAAACCACACCAATTCCCCATGAGAATGCTGCATTAGAGCAGGGAAGGCATTTCAAAACAGGTCCCCTGCAGCCTGATGTCAGACCTTCTTTTTCTGTTGAAGGACGAGTTCAGTTGTGTCAGACCTGTAGCTAATGGGCTATGGTCACCTTCCCTGATATTTGCTAGTACTCAAAATGAGGGCAAAAGATTCTTCCAGGAGGCCTGAGTGGGAGCAGGAACCCCTAACAAGTGGGTGTTCTGATGGTGCTGCCTCTGATTACCTCTGTGACACTTGGCTTCTCTGGGCCTCTGTTTTTGCAGCTGTCAGGCAGGGCAGAGGACTGGGTTATCTCTTAGATTTTTCCAGCATGATTGAAGCTTCCTGGGGAATTCTTTCAGAAGGTCAAATCAGCATAGCGTGGGGGTAGAAGTGATCCCAGGAGCTGATGGCCATGGGTACAGCTCCATGGCACAAGGAATGCTTTTCAAACAAACCAGACAGGGTGGGGCATGCCTGTAATCCCAGCACTCAGGAGGCTGAGGCAAGAGGATCGCAAGTTCGAGGCCATCCTGGGGAAGAGCCTGTCTTTTAAAAACACACAGGAATCAATGATGTTATCTATCCCAAAGCTGATTACCTGAATTAAAAACACACAAGGGCTGGCAGAGTGGCTTAAGCAATAAGAGTGCCTGCATAGCAAGTGTAAGGCCCTGAGTTCAAACCCTGTGCTGCCAAAAAACAAGCAAAGTAAACACATGTATACGTGTTCACATAGCATGCAAGAGGCTCTGGGTTCAATCCCCAGCACTGTAAAAAAGGAAATGAAATTAAAAAACAATAAAATAATGAGGGTGAACATGACTGGCAAGGTGGGGAGGGATGGAGGGGACAGTGCATCTTTAGCTGACATTGGTCAACAAGGGACAGGCCAGAGGCAGCAAAGAAAGAGGCCTGCCTTTGGGCCAGACTGTCATTCAACACCTCTTACATCAGAAGTATAATACAAACACACGGATGGGCCTGGCTCTGAAATGCCACAGCACTGTCCCATGGTTTTCCAGTGCATAACTAGACGCTGACCTGGCTGTGGTGGACAGGCTGAACACCTGTCACCTGCTTCGCCTGGAGTCTATGGCAATGCTGTCCCTGAGCTAACGAGTTCTGTTTTGTTACTCTGCCCACTTGGAGCACAGATGACAGGCTGAGAGCCATTGAGTTGTTTTTGTCTGCCCTTTGCAGCATTTTAAGAAATTTCAATTTGTTGTCAACACTTGAAATGTGAGTGACTTTAATGCCAACTCCAGCCTGGAGGCTTTTCCTGAAAAGTCTGACGTTCTTGCATAGTTGTATGATTCTCACAGGAATGCCGTGGTGCCCAGTGGCCCCACATGTGGGTGGCTCTATTTGTTCCTGCTCTGCCTGCTTCTGAGGGTTCGAGGTCTTGGCTTGAGGAAGTCAAGACATGCAAGACAAAGGGCACTGAGAATGGAGCCAGCCCTCCACATAGCAACATGGTCATGTCTGCCCTCCAGTCCAGCCAACTAGGCTAGGCAAGGTCAAACCTACCTAGTCCTCCCAATTCCCTGCCATCCTCTGACCACTGTCTACACTCTTTCCTCTTGGTCTTTCCTTTGCTAGGTGCTTTCTCCCACCTGGCCCTCCACCAGCCTGACACCTCCTCACAGATGCTCTGTGATCTGCCCAGGGCTGAGTGTCTGCCTGGGGAGCCTGATTCTTTCCTGATCGGGCAGTGGGGCAGCCTGTCATGTAGTATGCCAAGATCCTGAAACAAGCTTTCATGTGAGTATATGAAACAAGTTCAAAGTTGGAATGTCTTTCTTCCCTTCTTTTTGTTCTGTGAGGACTGGAAGCTTTATTGTGATGAAGTGCACATGCTGGCGTGGTTAACATGCTTCATAGTACACGACCTCTCTTTATCAAATGTATCCGACAGCCTGCTGTGTGCCAGGTTCTATGCCAAGTGCTTTATGTGTGTCACTGCTGATCCTCATTATAACCTCTCAAGGTAAATATTTTCATCACCAGATGGAGACACCAAGAGAAAATAACGTCGTTAGTACGTTTTGTGCTGGGAAACTGAACCCAGGCCTGTTTTCTAAACCCTGCCAGGCCCCTTCTAGGAATGGGGGAGTTCTGAGATACAGAAATGGTAAATGAACACAGGAAACAGAAACTGAAAGACTGGTTTGTTGTAGATTTTGTTTTTGTTTTGTTTTGTTTTTTATATGTCAAATATGGTTTCAGTTAACTTCAAATACTCAGAGGTGAATTTTACCTTATGGTGATAAATCAGAGTCCAGTTGCTTTTTTTGATCCTGGGTGGAAACCCAGGATGTTCAGAACACAAAAAATATGCCCCAACACAAAAGATATGCCCCAAATAGACTCATAAAAGGAATTCTTAGCTGGGTGCCGGTGGCTCACACCGGTAATCCTAGCAACTCAGGAAGCAGAGATCAGAAAAAACAGTTCGAAGCTAGCCCAGGCAAATAGTTCATGAGACCCTATCTCAAAAAAACCCGTTATGAAAAAGGGCTGGTGGCGTGGCTCAAGGTGTAGGCCCTGAGTTCAAACTCCAGTACCACACACACACACACACACACACACACACACACACATGGACGACTTAGAAATGATACGTTCTCTGATACAAGCAGTTTGGCATTGTGGGTCCTTATCATTGTGACACTGCTTTCTGAACCATAATGCTGACAAATTGTCAATGACTGTGACGGGCTGTGGGACAATAACCACTACAGGATGGCCATCAAGGTCAACTGTCCAGTCGACCTGGCCTAGGCCTACCACAGGTTGCAAATTCCTGAAGCAGGTCAGTCGGTCAGGCAGTGAGCCTTGTAATCCCAACATCTTGTGGTGAAAAAGGCTTTTAGTAACTAGACACCCCGAATTATGTGATGACCCACAAAGTGGTGTGACACATGAGGCTGAAGTCAGAGTGCAGATCAGGGAGTTGAAGTCCCTCTGGCCTCTGCGGAATGCGCTGAAGTCCACCCTCAGTGGTAAATGGGGATTGTCTTACCCCTGGTGCACACCCAAGCCGTGCCCTTCTCTCCAAAATAGCCTTGTAATAGCCTTGTAGCCTTTCCAGAATTGAAGCAGCTAAACTGCACTTTAAGTGCCAGGACTGAAATTATGATTTGAAAGATGGACAACCAATGTTGGGAAACTTGGACTTTGCACATGCAAATCCCAGATTCTTGAATATGGTTTAGCTAAAGTTAAACTTTCTAGGGGAGGCCTTGCTATACTGAGTGTTGGGGTGAGGGCTATGGGGTACCCAGGGGGTAGGCAGTGGGCTTGGTTAGAAGAATTTAAAGTCCATGGATTCCACTTAAGTCAGCTCTCTAAAGGTTTTCTGGCATTGAAGTCTTGGCTATAGTCAGGTTTAGGCTCGGGTACCATTAGTGTCTTGGCTGCAGTCTCAGCTTTGAGGGAGCTCAGCTGGCCCTTGACTTTTTAAGGATGGCTGATGTTTCTTAGGACAGAGACTCAGACCAAAAGTAGACTCTAAATCCTCCCACTCCTGCTCCCCAGAGCAGCCATCAAGGCCAGAACACCCCACCAGCAGCACACCTGGCAGGGCAGGACCTCAACGCTGACAAGCTCCGAGGGCTCGGACACCTCCCACTCCAGCATGGGCAACCTCAGCGCACCGGCTTTGAGAACCTGGTGCCTTTCCGCTTCCGGCCTGGGGCGGGGCGGGGCGGGGCGGGGCGGGGCCTCGGCCACGAGTGGGCGGGGCCTCGGCGGGGCGGGTCTCTTACTGTGGTCACTGCGCAGCGCAGCGTCGATGAAGGCCGCGGCTGAGTAGAAGAAGACGCTGAGGTCAAAGGTGGGCACGTCGTCGGCCTCGACGCCGTGGTACTCGATGGCCATGTCGCGGTAGTAGTCAGGCCCAGTGTCCACGTTCCAGCGACCGTGGGCTGCGTTCAGCACATGCGTGAAACCCGCCTTCTGCAGCCCATAGCGGTCCAGCGCCGTCGCCCTGGACGGGGCGGGGGAGCAAGGTCGGTCAGCCCAGCAGCACCTGGGCGCGCATGTGGGGATGGGGACGAGGGGTGAACTGCCGGGCAGCCCACAGCTTTCTGCAGTCGGTCCTGATTCCCAAAATAAGCAAAACCCCAAAGTCCAACTCTTACTGACCCCTAGGCCACGCGCACCATTTCGTCTGGCTGTGTCGCTGTGAGGACAGGCGGGTTGGAGGGTTGAGTAGGCAAGCTAGTCATTCACTTTAATCATTCACCAAATCCAGTGGAGCCTGGTGCCAGACAGTATTGTGGTCTCAGGACTGGACCTGCCAGATTCCCCAAAAGGCTGCTAGAGTAACTTACTCACCTGAGCCACCTTCCTAGAACCCCAAGGGACCTTTAAAGCGGGAGTCTCCCCTGAGCCCTCTGAATGCTTTTAGGGTTTGGAGGTCAGGGCTAGAGAGAATGGTTTAAGGCTGGTCAATCTGTGCCACGGATGGGAAGAAGGAAAAATAGGCCAAGGCAAAGAAAGAGCCTTTATCTTTTTTTTTTTTTTTTGGTGGTACTGGGGTTTAATAAAGATCTTTGTGGAAATGTTCATTACTTTCTGTAGTCAATCATTTGTCCTCAAGGAATGAGTCTGTCATTGCTGATGGTATTGAAGGGAACAGGTTGGTCAAGGTCCCTCCAGAAGTTTAGATCCTAATACAAATAAAATAGTGAATGAACAAGATGGTAGCAGTGGAAGGAGCTGTGAAGGAGCTAAAGCCAGTGACATGATAGAGAATGACCACACATCTTCTTTTGTAGGGTGGTCAGGTAGGCTGTAGAGAGCTATCACTGGAGTTAGGCAGAGGAAGGGTTGGGGCATCTGCTTTTGTAGGGTGGTCAGGTAGGCTGTAGAGAGCTGGCACTGGAGTTAGGCAGAGGAAGGGTTGGGGCAAGAGTGTTTTGTCCAGGCTGAATGAACAGCAAGGGCTAAGAACACAAAGGAAGCCAGTGTAGCTGTAGGAACAAGGGGTCGTGGTGGTTTCATGGTAGACTCTAGACCATAGGGAAGAATTTGGACCTTACTCTAAACCTGAAGAGAGTTTTAGGAAACTGCTGAGCATTGGTTTACTTTTTAGTAGATCAGTCTGGCTGATGTATGGAGATAGATCGGAGAAGCAGGGAGGTCTGTTGGAGGCTGTTGCAGTGGTATAAGCAAGAGAAGAAGACAGGCTTGGACTAGGGTGACCTTGTAGCTGGACTTATTGTGACTGTAATGGGGGCAAGGAGGAGAAGACTGGTGTGTCCCGAGCATAGGATGAGAGAGCAGAGAATAAAAAGATTTGGAGAGGGCTTTAATATCAGAAGTGCTGTACTTAGGAATCAGGGAGAGCTTTAGCCAGTATGTAAGGAGGGATGGACAAATCTGGCTTTAAGAGGACATTTCCTGTGCTGGGGATGGTGGTGAATGTGGTACATGTCTGTAATACCAACTACTGGGGAGGTGGAGCTAGGAGTAGCACTGTCCAAGGCCAGCACACTGGGCAAAAGCTTGAGACTATCTGAAAAAGAAACTTAAAAGCAGAAAGGACCGACTGCAGGTGTGTCTCAATTGGTAGCGTACACGAGGCTCTAAATTCAAACCCCTATAACTTCCCCCCCCCCCCGCGCCAAAAAAAAGTACCTGTCCCTCAATAGCATAAAGACCATACTTCTCAGGGAAGGGGGAACATGGTCTGGAACCATAACAGCAAAAGGACAATAGTGGCATTACACTTCAGCTGAAGGCTCATCTTAAGGCTATTGCTAAGGGATATGGACAGAGTGAGCAATTGGAAGCCAACAGGGACCAGCCCCCTGAGCAGGAGGAGCCCTGCATGAGAAACAGGCATGGGCCCTCCACGGAGGGTGCCCCATCTCCTGCTGGTTTCCTGGAGCTTTTTGTTTGCCATGAGAGGAGCCATGCTGGAGTCTAGCATTTGGGAGAGATGTGAGTACAGGTATGGGCCTTTAGAAAACATTTGCAAAGTGTGGGGAGTTGAGGGTTCCACTGAGCCCCCAGCTGGCCCTGGATGCTGCCATCCTGGCTGTGGAATACATTCTGCTTTCAATTTGTCCTCTGAAAGCTCTGCTTTTCATTTTTCTTCTTGTTCCAAAGTATGTATACAACAGCTTTCTGCTTTTGGGACCCAGATCTGCACTCAATTAAAGCCTCCACAAATGCAGTCAGTATTGCTGAGTAGCAATCAGCCTCACTTTGAGGTTGAACTCAGTGGAAAAATTTAAATTAACTGTCCTCAACAGGAAGCTCCTACCCACCAGAAAGACTGTTCTCTCTGGGTCCAGCAACTAGATATCAGCAGAGTTAAATGGCAGTTCGAATAAATAACAATTTATACTTTACTGCCTTGGGGGTCAATGATCAGGACAGATATATACCAAGACTCATTGCAAGACATCTCCACATTTGCCCCACCCAGCTGGCTCTGGCTGTGTTTGAGAGGAAGGAGCTCAAAGGAACATTAGACCGGATGGGTGTCTAAGGCCCGCTGTGGGTTTTAAGTGCTGTTTGACTACCTGGGCTGGGAAGGGTTGTTGGTATCCACACATACCACTCTAGGACTCCCTCCAGGTTGGTTTACTCATGGTCCATTGGAGGCCTTGGAAAAGCGTCCACAGCAAAATGGGGAATTTGCAAATAAAAAATGCCTCCCACATCACAGACACCCAACGTCCAGTCCTCATTTGGGATAGATGCCCAGCTCAGCAGTTATTGGAAATGGGATGGGGACTGAAGGGGATGTTTGGAACTGTACTGTTTTGTTTTTAAAATTTCAGATACATTATTGGCTGAGATACAAGAGAAAGAGACTAGAAACACGGGGACATTTTGAGTTGATGTACACAAAGAAAAATTACTCGTCCCTCTCCTGAGGCTATGTATGTGTTTGTCTGACAGAGAAAAGACTGAAGGGAAAGGAAAAAAAAGAAAACAGATTTAGGAATTTACTTCTGGAGTCTGGAGCATGCAGGGGCCTTAATGTCTTTGTTTAAGAAAATCCTAGATCTAATCAATATGTTCATTTTTTAAATAATATGTCATTTCCTTTAAGAAAACACACATGCATGCTCAAGGCAGACTGTGGAAAACATACTCCCTCTGGAAAAAAAACTGCCTGTATTTCTTTCTTGCTATAAGATAAAGACTGTATTATTAGTCTTTTGATGTAAAATCCTTCACAGTTGATTTTTGTAGAAGAACATAGAGTTTTTTTAGAGAGATGGTTTTGATACATTCCTGTACAGGAATACCTTGTTTTATTTTGTCTTACTTTATTGCACTGCACAAATACTGCTTTTTCTTTTTTCCGCCTGTGTTGGGAATCAAATTCAGAGCCTCACCCATGCTAGGCAAGCACTCTACCACTGAGCTACAGTGCCAGCCCCAGTAATGCATTTTTTTTTAACAAACCAAACATGTGGCAACCCTATGTCAAGCCAAGACTATTTGCACCATTTTTCCAACAGCTTAGATGATTGTTAGCATTTTTTAGCAATAAAAAAATCTTAAAAGTATGCACAGTCATTTTTTAGCCATGATGCTGTCGAGCACTTAATAGACTGTAGTGTAGTAAAACATAAATAACTTCAATATGCACTGGGAAATCAGAGAACTCCAGTGACTTGCTTTATTTTGATCTTTACCTTATTGAGGTTGCCTGGAACTAAACACACAATATCTCCAAAGTATGCCTGTAAGTATAGTTCTAAAAATTTTAACATGGACATACGTTATAAACACCTTCCAATGTCACTATATGGCCTTCCATAGCTGCGTGCTATTCTCTTACATAGATCAATCCCAATCTTTATTTACCTAGCACTTTGCTGTGTTTCTTTGGGCACATCTGACTATGTCCTTGGGAGACATTTTTTAAATTGAAATTGCTGGGTCCATGGTATGGATATTTTTAAATAATATTTGATACTCATTCTGTAACCCTCCAGAAAACTTGTTCAAATTTACATTCCGATTTCATACACAAGAAAAAAATGTCTTGTTTTCGTTGACTTGTCTTAGTAGTGAGGTTGGACATTTTGTCCCAGATCTGTTGGACTCATGGAGTTTCCTTTTGAAGAACATCATCATATCCCTGTCCTGACCCAATTCTATTTAGCTCTTCTCCCTTCTCTCCAGTCTCTGGATTCTGACTCTAGATTGGTGGACTAAGGAAGTGACAACATTCTCACTAGGCCCAGTTTCATCAGAGTCCTTCGCGCTCTCCTTCCTTCTCTGACCTGGCCCTGCCTCATGCCAGCCCCTCTGGAGTGGCCTCCAGGAAGCTTGCTGCAAACCCCATCCCAGAGGCATACTGAACACACTCCCCCTCTGGCGTTCTCCTTGGGCAGTGTTCTCAATGGTCCATTTGTTAAGACTCTTTGTTGCCCTCCTGATCCCAGCCCAAATCCCTCAGCCTCTGCCAGCAAGCCCGTTTCCCTCTTGTATGGAGGGGAGGAGGTACAAGCCCTAACTATATCCTCCGTGCAAACCCTCTGCTAGCCTCTGCAGCTGGGAGAAACCAGCTGCTCCCATGTTGTAGGATTCTGCACTGGACACTGAAGAAAGTCCCTTCATGATGAGGCAGGTTCTCCCTGCCGTGGGTCGGTCCCATACCCGATCATGAACTCCTTGCTCCAGATCCAGAAATCTGACACCTTTTTATACTGTAGCATGTGACACTGTGGTGGTCACATGTCATTTCATGGGGATTACCTCAATGATATAATTCCTCTAGTGGAGTCTTGACTGTGCTGGTTTCTTGCATGTGAACCTTGGAACAGAGGGCACCTTCCAAGCTTCTGATCTTGGTTAATTCACCTAATGTAAAAATGAAATTCACTGCCACTTGCTGATGGTGAAGATCTTGGGTGTTGAAGCCACTCAGCGCTAACAGCTTAAATTGCCAAGTGAACTAGAACAGTGGAACCTCTGAGGCCTCAGTTTGCTTTCCTTGATGAATAGAACCAA